AAAATTTCTGACCCTTAAAAAAGTCTGACTGTCAAATATTTGAACCATATTATTTAGTAGACAGTGCGTCTCATTTTAAGGGTTAAAAATAATATGGTTCAAATATTTGACAGTCAGACTGTTTTAAGGGTCAGAAATTTTTAGGGTCAAAATCCAAAATCTTAGGGTCAGAAGCATTAAGGGTCACAACATATTGAGTCCGCAATCCCAACTATCCACTCTCCACAAATTGTAGAGAGTGGAGAGTAGCCCTACCAAGCATCCGATCCCAACTCCCTACTCTCTAGAAAAAGTAGATAGTAGAGAGTTGGCCTCATTTTAAGGGTCAAAAATAATATGGTTCAAATATTTGACAGTCAGACTTTTTAAAGGGTCAGAAATGTTTAGGGTCAAAATCTAAGGGTCAGAATCAATAAGGGTCTGAAAATATAAGGGTCACAATATATGAATCATAATCTGTAGGGGTTGGAAGGTTTTAGGGACATAACATTCAGCGTTCACAAAAAATTTCGGGTCTGGGGGTTCAAAGAAGCATGAGGTCTAAGGTTCTAAAGATTAGAGGATTAGATTACTCAAGGGTCTAAATCCACGAAGCCCAGAATAGTCCTCCCTTCAGCTATCTACTCTCTAAAAGTACTCATGAGTAGAGAATTGGCCCTGTCATTCCAACTCTCCACGAACTCTCAACTTTCTCTCCACTCCAGGAACAAATAGAGAGTCGAACTATCCACTGGTTCCGCTAGGGTTCCCTCCTATGGTGAACAACTAAAAGAGAAAACCATCTGGATTGTCGATTCCGCCCGAAAAAAGAATTTGTTATCCTACAGTATTTTTCGTTTTTTTCATTAGAGTAATTGAAGGCTGAAAAAAGATAAGTTTATGAATGATAGTATCTAGTTGGAATTTCTAAGTTTATCATTGCTTTCATGTGCATTTTCTTAATTTTAGAATAGATTACTTATAGTTCGAAGAAGTGCCGTCATATAAATATCCTCTCAGTAAAAAACAATCAGAGAGATACTAAATTACGCGGAAAAAAATAGTCAAGTACAATTTTCCAGTTAAAAAAAAAACTGCAATGCTCCAGTACTTTATTCAGTAATAAGAGGATTAAAATAAAATGTTAATCATTGAGTTCATGTTCAGCTTGCTAATTTTAGAATGTATCGATTATGATTTGAGAGAAAGAAGTAACATGAATATTTTCGCAGTAAAAAAACAATATCAGAAAATTTGTTAATTACTCAAAAAGAACAAACTGATATTATAGTTCTTCACTGAAAATTAAGAGTTTTAATGATCCTTCAGTGAATTATCTCGTGTCAAGAGGATAGAAACAATATTTCTTCTTTAAAAATAACAGTCAGTCGTATTTCAGACCATCACTGATCGAAACAAATGATTTTTAAGATGATCAAAGTTGATGATTCGGCGACAAAACGCTGTGAGATGTTCTCCTCGTGATTCCTAATTAATACTAAATTTACAGTTTGCAATTAATGCCGTTGAGTTAAAAAAAACTTATTCATGTAAACGATAAAAGTATAATAAAGTTCATCATTATACTAATTGAGTGAAGATTTTCTCTAATAAATATATATTGCATTACAATAATTAATGAAAAATATATTGCATCACAATAATTATTCAACAATAAAAATATTCTAACTGCCAAAATCCATATGCCATCGTCTGCAAAGCGTCGAGAGGCTAGTCTCGGAACGATTCTGAGATCCAGGAGAGATGCACGACACAGTCTCCCATTCAGAGACGACGATCTCTCTGACCGCTTGGTCGGTCACGCATCTCCCAATAATCTCTGTGGTGGTGCGGAGAGAGATTATTTTTAAGACTGAGACGACGGTCTCCAGCACTAAGAGAGACGCGCGATTTTTCATCCCGGGCTAGAGTTATCCCTAAAGTTGAAAAACAACTCTCGTTTTTGTCCCCAAGACCCTAAAGAAAGCTTAGATTCATCCCTAAAGTTAAAAAATTTTTGGATTATGTGTAGGAATACTCAATAAAAACACATTAGTTTTATTCTTCAAAGTAAAACTCTTTAATGATCGCACGCAGAAGGTATATCTTTCTCCAACGAAGTCTCTAGGACGACTAACTAAAAGTCATGAGAGTTTTCACTCTCTGGACCCATTTGACAAAAGGCCCTTGTTTCAATTTTCTTCAGCCTCTCCTTTGTGACTCACCATGAGGACTGTTTTTCTTCACGTCTCTATTTTCTAAGAAAAGCCATAAATGTCACCCTGAGTGTTTGGGTGGAAAAGAGAAAATGTTTAACTAAACTAAGAAATTAATTTTTGTATTCAGGCATGAATTCCAACAAAAATAACTCGGTTTTGCCCCCAAGACATCAGAGAAAACAGAATAATTTCTGAAGTTAAAAAATAACTCTCGGTTTTGCCCCCAAGACCCTAAAGAAAGCTTAGTGTCATCCCTAAAGTTGAAAAATAACTCTCGGTTTTGCCCCAAGACCCTAAAGAAAACCTAGACTTATCCCTAAAGTTAAAAACAAACTCTCGGTTTTGCCCCCAAGACCTCAGAGAAAACATAGAAAAACTCTAAGTTACGAACTCATTCCAATTCTAGTAAATCCCGAGACATACTCTAGGTTTACGGGAAAAACTGAGAATCCCAACTCTCGGGTTGGTCCGTTAGGGACTCCTCTCATGTTCATGAGGTCCAATAATGAGTCCAACGTCATCAGGTACATACGATTCTGAAGTCGATGAGTGGTGTGAAAGAGACTCAATAGCATCAAGAGACACTGAAGTGCTTGAACTCGGCTTTTTGGTACTGCCATTGATTATTTCCTCGTCTGCGTAACTCTTAAGTGGACTCGTTCGGGGACTGCGTCGAACAGGTGTCACAGGTATTTTTGTCTTGAGGACAAATTCAACGACTGATTTTTGTTTGATAATGTCCATTGCTAGAGCCTTTCTAGTCTCAGTTACGTTGAATTTTTTTCTCTTCCTGCTGGAGTCCATTTTTTTTATCCTCCATGACAGTTTGAGAAAATAATTTTGTTGAATCGTCCGCCACGCCATCACTGTTAATATTTATTTTCTTTAACACTTCTTTAGGTGTACATGAAAGTCAAAGATTACGTTAGAAATTAATAAAAACTGAAAGAATTTACCAAAGAATCGATTCAT